TTGCGTAATTGAAAAGCTATCGTAAACCAAAGGTCTGTAACATGTGAATTCCGGTTGTTAAGAACTTACCGTAACCTGTAAGATATTAGGAAAGAAATTATTATTTAATAGTTCGTCATTAGGAAAGAACCGGAACCGCAAAGTGACATAATTGGCAAAAACCCCTTGAAAAGTATCGTAACCCGGAAAGTGTCTTGGGAAATCATCTTCAACTATGACCCTGTAATCCGAAAAGTATCGTACTCTGCCAAATCGATATCAGGAATTACAGTACTCCGATCGTCCGTGATTTGCAAACAAGTGTAGCCTTGAATTTTCAGGTGTTTCTCGTGCCTCGTTCGATTTGTGTGCTGTTGCAGACCGAAGAAGAAGCCAGTAAAATACGATCCCTACGTTTTTCTGGTCGGCTGACAAATTTGGAAAAATTAATTTATTTTAGGATGATAGCCATGTCTACCACGCGTGTTTTGGGTGTATTCACGTCAAGCGGTTGGCTGTTTTTCTCGTTTTAATTAAGACGGGTGGGTTTTGTGTAGTTTGTAGCTTGACAAGACTAAACTAGAAGCTACAAAATTTTTTGAACACTTTAGTGGCGTTATTTGCATTTGTGTGTCGTCAATTATTTGCCTCGTCTTCCTCATCGCTGTCAAATATTGGTGAGTGACGAGATGAGAGAGAGAGAGAGAGAGAGAGAGAGAAAACGAAAGATATAGAGAGCGATAGATAGAGTAGAGAGAAATAGAGAGCGAGAGATGGATAGAAAGAGAGAGAGGGAGAGAGAGAGCGAGATCGAAAGAGAGGGCGAGAAAGGCCGAGAGAGAGAGAGAGAGATAGAGAGATAATCGAGATCGTTTAGCCTGCGTATTCATCACATCAGCCACGACCGTCAGCTACATTCTAGTGATAGTTGGCGTCCAAATAAAGCGGTAACCCGGTTCTATATTTCTCATTTTTGCTCAGATATACCTTCATCATCCCCTATTTTACAATTTGTGTGCTTGTCATTCTCGTAATGATCATGCAGTTGTTTATGGATTTCCTCGATACCGCAAACCGAAAGACGACGCTCGACCCGAAGGCAATGGCGCAGAATGCGACGTTGGTGCGATTTTTGCTCTATGGGGGTTATAATTAATTCGTAACCTCTAAAAACCCATTTTCCAGTTCTCGATCATCGCCTTCGAGATCTACACGTTATCCGTGGTGTGGAAGGCGTTCATCTACGTCAACGACTTTCAGATGAACGTCGATTTGCACTCGAAGTAACCCAAAAATTATCGTTTTTCCGATTTAGAAATTTTTTAGGGAGCGTCGCGAGAGGCTAAATTCGATCTTCATAAAACGAGATGATGAGGGGCTGATGCACAACCATTTGATACCAATAAAAGAGGAGAGCGATGAGGAGCCGGAGGTGAAATTTTAAGGGGGTTGGGAAGGTTCAAACCCAAATTTGCATTCAGCGCATTAACGCGGATTTTAGGTGCCGGTGAACCTGCGAAAGATGACGCTGAGAAGGTCGGAGAGCATCGTAGCATGAAAATCCGGCAATAAATGCTTTATTCTCACTTCCGGCGCCGGCGCCACAGTGATGAGAGAGTGCAGAGATTGAGAGAAAACAGTAAGAGCATGCAAAGACAACAGGATACCGCCGCCAAGCTGGGAACGCACACTTTCTCAACATCTTCCGATTCTGACGATTCCGATTGGGGGTCCTGAACGGAAAAAGAGATTTTTGCGCTCGTATCATTAAAATACCGTATTCGCCTCGAGTGGGAGTACTTCTACTTCGGTGCGAACGTCGAGGACGGCTTCACGGGGGGATGAGCGACGTTGGCGAGACCATTCCGGGTTCTCGAGGAGATTTGTGGAAACCGCAAGGTCGGAAGCGGTGCTCGGTGGGGGGTCACTGGAAAAGATATCGACGATCACTCTCTCTCTCTCCTTTTCTCGTTCTCTCTCTCTCGCTCTCTCTCTCTCGCTCTCTCTCTCTCTCTCTCTCTCTCTATTTCTCCCCCAAACCAACCCCGCAAAACCCACTCATTCTGTATGATTGGTGGCAACGGAAAATCACCATATCCACTCCCATCGGCCATCCCCATCAGCGGGCTACCGTAACCCGTAATATCCCCCATATAGTCAATGGTTGTCGATGGGGTTGTAGAGGGTGTAGACGGTGATTTGTAGCTTGTCGTTGGACTCGCTGACGTCGCCGTTACCGTACCACGTGACATGTAAGCTAGAATTTCGGGAGCTTACAGGGCATATAACAAGAGGGCAAGCTAGCAATGGTCGTTTGCGTTCACTTTTTTCACCCACCGGTCTGCCGTGGTTGGATAGAACGTTGCGTGGTGCCCATCGTATTCCTTGGGTCCTGCTGGGCATCTTGGAAGGTGGCGGGATCGCCGCAACGTGGCCGCTCGCACTCGCCGTTCTTTAAAGGGGTGGTGACAAGGTTGGTTTTGCACAAATTACCCTCGGAAACACGCTGATCTGGCATTGGAATGATACTTGGGTGCGGTCTGCGAATGAGCAGGCTTGTGATGTCTAGAAACATATAGAGTAGCTTTTCTCTCTTTCTCTCGCTCTCACTCGCTCTTTCTCTCGCTCTTTCTCTCGCTCTCTCTCCCTCTCTCTCTCTCTCTCTCTCTCACCTGTCCCACTTCCAAATCCCCAACGTATTCCAATTGTGGCATGATAGTACGGTCAGTGGAGCAACCGTTGGAATCTAGAAAAATGACTAGTCAACATTTTTAAATTTTAAAACCCACCAACTAGCCGAACTTTTTGCCCGTCGTCCGATTCCACGAAGCAACTATGGACGAGGATGCAAAATGGGTTATCTGAATTTTTGGGCTCGAAGGCAGGCTATAACGAACTCTAGCGTATACTAGGCGTATTGTCGCGCAGTCTAGTATGAAGTACTTTTGGGTACTATGGCGTGGTGACGCATAGTCTATCTTACTATAGCGTAGTATGACGTACTACAGTCGTAATGTCGCGTATTGTTACGCATTTTAGCGTACTCTGGTGTACCATCGCGTCATCTAGCGTAACGTAGCGTACTTTGCCTTACTCCGGCGTTCTGAGCCGAAGTCTCGCGTATTATAACGCACTTTTGCGTACTGTCGCGTACCGCTTCCGATTCGTGCGTATTATCACGTCTCTTAGTACAGTGTACACTGTAGCGTAGCGTAGTCCAAGATTCTCACCCACCGTAATTGACACATTTCCAGCGATGATAGACAGTTTGCCCGATTGTCGCCCGTCTCATCAAATAGCCAGTTCTCGAGGAAAGGATCTAGCAAAAAATGGGCATTTTTTAAATTTGCTAACCTCATATTGGCAGGTTGGCATTCGTGCCTCGTTTTTCACAGGTACCGTAGCCATTTCATCGATTTGAAGGCTAAAAATAAAACTAAAACCGCTGCACAAAAATAGCCCAATTATTATTTAATTACAAAAAGTATAGAATACCACAATTGCCTAAATGCCTACTCAAATCGAACATTCGTCCCGGATTCCCTGTAGAAACAGTCGAGCTTGAAGGCACGATCCTCGCGGGTTAGGAAAATGGGCTAAAAGAAGCCGTGTTAATTCTAGTTTGATACCTACATGATTAGCCAGGACTACGGTAGCACCAATACGAATTCCGCGTGGATTCAATTCCCGAGTACGCGCCAGTCCGCACGAACCGAACCCCAGTTGCATATAAGGGCTGCCGGAGGAACAGGCGGGCGAGGCGGCGAAACCCTGGAAATGTCGTTCAGGAGTGTGACAGTTATTTGCATGAATTTTAAATTCCAAATTTATTTAGAAAACACGACTAGCTTGCGGTTAAATCCCAACGAATCTCTGCTAGCTTGCCCTCAAAAATCAAAGTTTCTCGGCTAGCTTTTTGTAGAAATTCTCTAAAATGAAATGATCGTTGCTAATTCGCCTTCTAAAAAGTTTAAAAGATTTAAAATTGAAGATTCTCTTGCCTCTGCTACCTTGTCCTCTAAAGAAAATGATTCCTGCTAACTGGCCCTTGAGCCTCAAATAGTCTCTGCTAGCTTGCTGCCCCCTCAAAAATCCTACTTACCCTAACATACACACGTCCGCGGTATTCGCCGGTAGTATTGAAGCGGACTCTGATGGCCGTTCCGAGACATTCCAGCTGTGGTCTCGTCACCTGAGCGGCAGACAACAGCTTCAAATTCAGCACCAAATACAGTATAGGCAATCTTGTCCCGGTTCCGCGATGTTCCATTCGACGTTTCAGGGCATGTGTGTGTCACTTGTAATTCTACTGCCATCCCAGACCGGCAGTTCGGAAAGCTGGTATTGAAAAAAGAGGGTGGCCGGGGGCATGGTAGGAGGATAAGCCCGGGGGAACACGACGAGTAGCTCCTAAATACGCCCCTCTTCAGGGAGACAGGCTAAAGGCCGGCTAAACGGCTACAATTCGCGTGTCTGCTTGTCTTTTTGCTCGGCTGACGAGGCCCTCCCCCCGACCGGGATTTTGAGCCGTTTTTGGAGGCGGAGATCACAATTTGAATAGAGGGGGAGTGGAGGGGATGACAAGCTAGCAGAGAATCGTTGTTTTGGAGGGAAACGAGCAAAGAATTTTTTAGATGGATGGGCAAGCTAGCAGAGAGCTTTTGATTTTGGAGGGCAAGCTAGCAAAGAACCTTTTTTTGAAGGGGAAGCTGCCAGAAATCTTCGTTTATCAGGGCAAGCTAGCAGAGAACCTTTACTTTTAAGGGAAAGCTAGCAGAGAATTGTTGTTTTGGACGGAAACTAGCAAAGAATTTTTGACAACCGTTGAGAGAAAGAAAAGAAAGAAACGAACCGTTGATTTTCAGGCAAGCTTACAAAGAACTCTCGATCATGGGCAAGCTAGCAGAGGGCCTTTGCTTTTCGAGGCAAACTAGCAGAAAATCTGGACTTTGTAGGCCAGCTAGCAGGGAATATTTGAGTTTTAGGGCAAGCTAGCAGAGAACTCTTTCTTTTGAAAGCGATTTAGCAGAGAACGTTTGAACGGAGCTCATGAACAATCAAGCGAGACAAATTTGCGATTGAGGAAAAGCTTGCAGAGATCATTTGATTCCAGAAGATCTGCTCCCTCTGCCCTTCCAAGTCCCTTTAAACCCGAAAATGCGGTTAGTATTAGTTGGTGAGTGCTGTCTGTGGTTGAGTGTGAGATCTCAACACTGTCCTCCATCAATCCTTGTCCTCTTTTTGCCCAAGAAATTCCGGGGCTTCATCTGCCTCCTCCCTTCCCTGTCCGCCCCAATCCGCAGCGGTCATATTTTGCCGATCAAAAAGGGTATGTCGGCCACTGGCCATTCTTTGTGTCCTCAGGGCAAAATGGGCAAGAGAGAACAAGGATCGGGTCGTCCGAATCGAATGCTGTAATCGGGGAGGGTCTTGTTTTTCCAGGGGTCTCTGTGCTCGGATCAAAGACATTTCGGGGGTTGTCGCTGGGGGGCCAACTGTCCCATTCTTTGTCCCCCCTCTGCTTCACTCAAAAAAAGATCCCAATCTCCGCCTCATACGACCTATTCGGGATCACATAGTCGTGCTCCAATGCTGTGTGTTTTTCGAGCCAGATTTCAGCTGGAATTTGTATTTTCTCGCGTGGACTGGCCTGTTCTGCCGCCAGATTGAGCTTGGCCACGTAGCTGCCTAATTTGGACGTCTAGGTTTCAATCAAAACTTACGTAGAACAAGCTTGAGGGAAAGACTGAAGCCTCAGCCTAAGCCTAAAGTCGAACCGAAGCTACTCTTTGGCCACGTTCGGCTAATTACCAAAGGCCCTCTGCTAGCATGCCCTCCAATGATCTCTGCTAGCCCAGTACTGTCCAATTCCTAAATGACCACTGCTAGTAAATCCTTCTCAAGGGTGTCGGCTGGACACATCCGGCCTAGTTCCTCAAGAAACTCTGCTCGTTGGCCTTTCTCCCGGCAACGAATCCGCAAGTCACGCGGAATTCTTCAATGCTTCCTGCTAGCATGCCTTTCTCAAGGGTATCGGCTGCCCAAAGGACGACGAATTTCTAAATGATCTCTGCTAGCATACCTTCCCCCAAGTATCTCCGCTGGCTATCCCGAAAAATTCCTAAAGGATCTCTGCCATCTTTCCCCATCCCTGGGCCCTAAACAAAAACAGCACGCCTCGCTTTTTGTTAAATTTCACAGGAGCGTGGAAATGAATGGAGAGGGCGGCTGGGCTCTCATTGTTTTTCCTGGGGCCTCATTTCCCCTCCCTTTTCGTTCCCAAAGGAGGCCCAGTCTCCGAAATCAGTCTCGAGACGGCAAATGAGCAATGGCCACACAACTTTTCCAGATTTTCGTATGTATGGCCTTTCTCTCTCTTCCTTTTTGTATGTCTTTTGGTGCAATGTGTTGTTGTGGGTTTTTTTTTTGGGGAGCTGAGGTCCTTAATTCCTACCAGATGTATCCCCTCCCCCGGCTTCCAATGGCTTTTCCCCTCATCCCATCCCATTCCCCCGTACTCCACAACATTCCGCTGCTACAAATCTCGTCACGATCAGGCTTAGGCTTCGTTTAGGCTTAGGTTAGGCTTAAGCTTATGCTTATGCTCAGGTTTCGGCTTAGGAATTGGCTTAGGCTTATGATTAGGCGTAAACGTAGGCTTAGGCTTAGGCTCAGGATTTGACTTAGGCTCATGCTTATTCTTATGCTTCGGCCTAGGGCTTGGCTTAAGCTCAGGCTTAGGGCTAGGCCCACTAAACGTCTTAAATGTTAGCCTTTCTGGTCCCGTTAAAGGTGATCGTAAGCTTCTCGTCTGCTGTCGACACCCGATAAATTCAAAACATCGATTTTGGCACTTCCCTGTCCCTTTAATCCCCTCCAGGTTTAATCCCGATCAAAACAGCCAAATCCCCTATTCGACACCTCTAGGTGTGCCCACTTGGCCAACAGATAAAAACGGGAGGCCGTTCGGAGTGGTGGGATTGATGGGGGAAATGGGCGATTGGGCCCCCACTGACTGTTAGCACCCGACAGGGCCAAATGCAACAGAAAACCCCCATCCCCGGCACATCATAATGGGCTGTGTGGCTTCGGGGGAAGAGAACGAACCCCGGAAAGACAGGACGGCCCAACGGAAAAAATGGCAACAGTTGGTGGGCCCAGAGGAGGTGCCCGGGGGAAAAGATGCCAAATTTATCATTGGCCCATGCCAGGAAATTGAGGTCTTGGGGGGATTTTTCTAGGTTTTTTAGGGTGAGAAATGTCATTTTCGCGTGGTTTTTTGCTGTTTTAGTGATGCACTTATAGTTAGTTAGCTTAAGCTTAGTCGAAGCTTAGGCCTCGATTATAAGCTTGTGGCTGGGATTTATCCTCGGGCTTAGACTTGGGCATCGGCTGAGGTTTGGGCTTCAGCTTTAACAAATTTAGGCTTAGTCTGAGGCTTGAGACCCAGGATTCAGACGTTTTCTTGGAAGTAGGCTTAACTCAGGCCTGGCTTAGGTGAGGCTTACACTTGGATACGGCATAGACTTGGGTTTAGACATGGGCTTCGGCTTCGGCTTAGGCTTAGGCTTATAGGCTTAAGCTTGGGCTTTTGCATAGGGTTACGATTAGATCGCCGTTAAGATATCGAAATTCCAATGTTCCTCTCGATTCCTTAAATAACCCTTAAACCTATTTACCTTCACTAGAATCCCACGGGTCCTTCCCGCCGTCCTTGTTGAGTGAAGGGGCGACCGGAAATAAAATTGAGGGCGCCCGAAATGGAAATTGGATCGACATGTCAGCCGCCCGGGAATGGGTAGGGAGACCCGTAGTCGAGGAGCACCACTTCTTTTCTCCTTTTTTGTGCAAAAATGAATGCGAACCTTTATCGTCATCAACTTTCGACTTTTCCATTATCAAATTATCGAGGCCAACCGGCTTCGGCTTTGCCTTAAGCTTAGCGTACTGTGCTTTCGATTATTAAACAACCAGCTACTTTACGCTTTTTAGACCAAAAAATAACCCTACCGACGTTCCACGCTTTGGAGACTTGTCATTTTTATGGATTCCAGGAAATTACTATAACTTGCCTCCCGGGGGAATTCAATCAACTGCCCCCGACTCCCGCATTTGGACTTATCGTCCGATTTTACGACTAATTCACAGGTACTATACCGCCAATTTGCCGAGATTTATGGGGTTGTCAGGGGGTTCCAATTTGAATGTTTTGCCAGGACGGTGTTACAATGCCGACCGTATCGGGTGATGTGGGCTTAGGCTTAGGCTTGTTTAGCCTTGGGTTGGGCTTAGGCTTCGGCTCAGGCTTGGCTTAGACTTGGGCTTCTGCTTAGGCTTCGGCTTAGGCTTGGCTTAAGCTTAGGCTTAGGCTTAGGCTTGGCTTAAGCTTACAAGGGAAGGGCACACGCACAGGTTGGAATTTCGTCAAACGCTCGCGGCTACCCCCGGGTAATCGCCTATGGAGAACACGATGCCGCTGTCCGATTTTCCTGCCGAGCCTTGTGGACAGAGATACAGCACTTCCGGAAAATTATGATTTACATGCGAAAAATTAGAATCCGGGGAAGGTTTATTAGGCCCTCCCATCAGTATGGGATCACCGGTTGAATGGCCGATTGGTAAGCAACTCGCTTGATAGGATACTGACGCGGGTACGGATCCGCTCGTGATTTTTCGTTTTGCTTTTTTGATAATTTTTTGCAGAAGTCCACAACTTTTCCTAAATGTGTAAAAATACTCATTTGAAGCCGTATAATACCCCTAGCATTCAAAGAAAAACTTTTTCGAAAAATTTTGTTTTTCCAATCATTCGAGCATCCATCGACCCAACGGCTTATCAAATTCACTAATTTTTGAAAATTTTTATGGAATCGCTGTCTAACTGACTTGACCAGGGCCCTTAAACAGGATAAGGTGTTGCAAACCAAACTAGAGCGTCACGATTGGCTTGGGCCAAAATTTCCCCCATAATTTTTTGATAGTTTGACAGCCGATGGATGGGTAGGCTTAGGCTTAGGCTTAGGCTTAGGCTTAGGCTTAGGCTTAGTTTAGGTTAGGCTTAGACTTAGGCTTAGGCTTAGCTTTATGCTTAGGCCTAAGATTAGGCTTAGACCTGCGAATGCTTGTCCTCCGGTACATATGTCACGTAGCCATGCCCTGTCCGTACCCTCAGAACAAGTCCTCCTCCTCCTCATCCTCATCCTCCCCGTTGAAATGTCCAAAGTTGTGGCCCGTACCCATCCATCAGCCATTTGCCTCTTTTCCGCTTTTCCCTTTCGTATAGGGTGTCAGGCGGCACATTTGGTTTGGCCGGGGCTGGTCTCTCTTTTCCGATTTACACCACCGTCCGATCCCTTTTGATACTCCTCCCCGAGATTATTGCGTAACGTGGCAAGGGGGGCAATGGGAAGCTGACAAATTTGTTTGGCCCTCAGCCCGGCCACAGTGTCCCTAGTTCCGGCCGCATTCCGCTGGACACCTACTAGCGGGTTTTTCGAGGTGTGCGGAGGAATCTGTTTATCTCTCTCTCTCTCTCTCGCTTTCTCTCTCTCACTCTCTCACTCTTTCCTTATCTCTCCATCTCTTTTGCCCTTGCTCTCTCGCACTCTCTCACTCTCTCACTCTTTCCTTCTCTCTCTATCTCTCTTGCCCTTGCTCTCTCTCACTCTCCCTCTCTATCCCATACTTTCCAGCACACTGGACAGCCTAAAGGGACTGTGCCGCTCGTCACGCAACGTGTGGCGAAATATTCGCGAGGTTGGCTTGCCCATTTCTACGAAAATCATGCCACTTTTAGCGCTCAACCTCGCGGGACCGGAAGCCCCCATCGGAGCGAGGGTCCAAAAATGGGACAAGCAATTTACGGGAGACGGTTTCTACCTCGAACATACGGCCCGCTGAGCCGGTCAACACGACAAGGGCTATGAAGAGGGAGGCAAATGCGTTGGAGGCACAGGTTTGGGGAGCAGAATTTAAGAAATTGGCTTCGGGGCTTAGGCATGGCTTAGGATTTGGCGTAGGTTTAGGCATGGGCTTAGACTTAGGCTTAGTCTTAAACTAGGCTTTGGTATACTTAGGCTTAGGCTTTGGCTTAGGTTTATGCTTAGGCATAAGCTTAGACTTAGTCTTAGGCTTAGGCTTGAGCTTGGCTCTGGTTTAGACTGAGGCTTAGACTTAGGCATAGACTTAGGTTTAGGTTTGGGCTTAGGCTCTCGCCTTGGCTTCCGCTTAGGCCTAGGATTATACTTAAGCTTTGGATAAGGCTTAGGTCTTGGCTTGGGCTACATTTTAGGCTAAACTTTTCAATTCCCCCATTTTGCAGCTAGCCTGCCTGCACGACGAGATGCGCAGCCTGCGCGTCGAGTGCGACCGGCTCATCTACAAGCACATGCAGAGTGAGGACGCGCAACAAATGGTATGTTATGCGAGCTACAGTAGCTAACAATACATTGCGTTAAAGTTGGATTAGACCCACGCGATTTTAGCCCAACGCCGCCCCGCAAGCAGAAACCTCGTCGGCTTACAACACTGGCGGAGAGAGTTGTCGATCGGCTACCGTAACCCCGGATGGGTGTGTGCCGCTTCTTTTGCATCATCAACGGCAACAGGTTCAGCAGGCGAATGTTCAGAAATTTACACCGGCCAGAGAAGGTGTGGCTTTATCTTTTTTCGCAGTAATTTAGGATGAGAGAGAGAGCGCGTGCTTGAAAGAGAACAAGAGAGATCGTAAGAGAGAGAGAGAGAGAGAGAGAGAGAGAGAGAGAGAGGAGAGGAATCTCCCATTCATGCGTACAAGATCTTTTTTTCAGATCCCCGTCGCGAATGCTGTCCTCCATCCCCTTCCCATATTCAATCCACCGTCGAGAGGCGACAACGGAATATGACGATGAGAATTCCCCATCCTCTACCAGTTCTAGGTCGGTTTAGTGTTTTAAATGGATAAGGACGACCCTACAAATCGGCCCTGAAAAAAACTGACAAAAAGCCAACCAGCTACGGTATGCAAAAAAATGGGGAGAGGGAGAGAGAGAGCGAGAGACGGAAAAACTCGCAAGCCTCACGTCCATTTTTAGTCGTAAACCGCGGCGGATCGGTGGTTGGACAATCCGAGATGGCACTCGGCCCGATCCCCACAACCCCTTCGGTCATATATTCTACAACCAACACGGCTACGACCATTCGAAAAGCGGTCCCCCCGCTCCCGACTACGCACCAATCCTATGCACGGGACAAGGTGCGCGCTGTGTCGCCGCAAAAGTTTAGGTGGGGGTGGATACGGTAGCGGGAGAAAGTGCATTTTAGAATTCCGAAGTTATCGATCATCCCAAGGGTATCTCCGCCGAAGAGTTGTAACCCAATTGAGAAACGGTGGGTTTTGGGAGGAGAGAGAGCGAGAGAGAGAGAGAGAGAGAGATATTGAGCATCTTCCCCTCCCCATCCGTCACCACACCTTTAATTCTCAGACAAGGCCGTCTCCGTGTCCGAAACGAGGGCGGCACCCGGTTGTTCATGTTCGATCGGCCGATCGAAGAATTGGAGGGGTTGAGCGACGACGACGATGATGATGATCAACAACCTGAAGAGGGACCCTCTCAAAACGGCGCCAATATGGACATCAATGCGGAGGAAGCGGTGCCGCCGGTCGAATTTAAGTGGAAGGTACGCATTCGGATCGTTTTAGGCCTTGGAAAAGTGATACCTAATTCGCTAGATAACTCTAAAGGGATCGGCAAGGCAGAAAAATCCATAGGCATGCCGTCAGTGTCCCTTTAAAAAAGTAAACTAGAATTAATGCAATTAAAAGCTCGATTTTCCAACTAAAGTCCCGCGATTTCCAGGTAAAAAGACGGTGTGACGGCACGCGATATGTCGTCAAGAGGCCAGTTCGGAATCAGGTCAGGGTTACGGTGTTTGGGTTTGGGCTTAATTTGGGCTACGGCTCAGGCTTAGCTTAGGCTTAGGCTTAAGCTTCGATTAGGCTTAGGCTTAGGCTTAGGCTTAGGCTTATGCTTAGGCTTAGGCTTGGGCTTACTTTGCATAGGCCTACAACACCCTTTTAGGTCCTCAAAAAGCGAGAAGCCCAGCTGAACAAGGAGAGAACCGGCATCAGCACCGACGATGATGCCTTTAGTGGCGTTAAGGTGAGCATCAAGTTTAAGGGCAGGCTAGCAGAGACAATTTGCGGAACCTTAAATCCTATATTTTTTTTTAGTTGGGGCACTATTTCTGCCGGGAAGACCGGAAGAAGCAGCTTGAGCACGAGCGGATGCGGAAGATACGGCATGAGCAGCGAATCAACCAGGCCAAGCTGGCCAATACCGACAAAGTACGGTAGATGGGAAATGGTTTTTGCAATTTTGCGATAGAATAAAGCAGAAAAAAAGGCATTTAGCGCCAACATACGGTATTTTTGCAGCGAAAACCTGGGAATACGCTTGTTTAGTACCGCTTTTGCCCTGGTAAATCAAAAATTACGTTTACATACAGAATATGAGGGCGTTTTCAGTTAATTGTCGACATGGCCTACCGTAAGATGGCGCGACGCCAGGCTCCTCTTGACGCGTTCACCTCAACCCGAGAATACCTCTCGCAGCGCCACGAGCAACAAGGACCCCCGCCACCAGCACCCATTCTAGCCGTTACTACTGTATAAGTTTGATTCCATTCAATTAAAGTAAAATCCCGAATTATCAACTTTCTCCTTCCTGCCCCTAAAAACCCCGATCCCACTTCCCGGTGCCTTAAAAATCGAGAAAAACCAGTTATCAGCAAATTTTTGAATTGAAATTGTTTTAAATTAATTGAATTTCCGATTTTTCATTTGTTAAACACTTTTTTCTACAGTATTTTTCGACCCATATCCTAGCGTAATCGATTACCATATTGCTATTTATCAAGTCAGAAGATTTTTGGAAGCAATTTATCCACCAAAAATTAGAACAATTACACCGATTCACTTACCGCCCGATTAATGAAAAACGCCAATCCCCGAATTCCCGGTCTGTTTTGAACATTTAATTTTTTTAAATAAAATTTTATTTGTTTCCCCTGACGAATGCTCAACGATAAACCGAGTTATTTTGGTGTATTTCATACTCTACAAAAGTATTGTTGCGTAGTTTGGCGTATTGTCAAGTACGGTCAGGCATATTGTTGCTTACATTACATGCATATTGTGGCGTACTGTGCTCGTGTATCGTCGCGTATTGTACACGAATAAGGCCACGTACTGTACATGAAAAATGCAACGTACTTAGGACTTTTACGTACTTTCAATGTGTACAGAAAGGTACCGAGTCCGTTCGGGGAGCGTATCGTCGCGGAACGCTGAATTTATATGGTGCTAGATGCTCTCAGAAAGTCCAGCCCACACATAAATCCAGGGTTCCTGAAGGACGAATTGGTGGCGAGGGGGCGAGGGATTTGTAAAAAATTTGAAGGGCTGTCTTGAAGAATTTGAAAAATTTGAAGAAGGGCGATTTTTGGGTTACTGTAGGGTTTCTAATGCCTGTAATGCCACGCGAAAAATATTTTTAGCGATATTTTTAATGGGAAAAATCTCATTTCAAGGGCTACAGTATCTACAGTAAGATAAGGAACAAACATATTACGTTATACTGCGAAATATGGGCTAAGTACAGAATTGCAGCGCGGAACTGCGTATGAACATACGTCGATAGGAGTGTCGCGTTGGCCATTTTTAGGCCTAGGCTGCGAACGGGTCGATTCATCGGCTGTAGGGGGAGAAGGCTTCTGATCGCTTTTTGTGTGGGCGGGGCTGAAAAAGGCTGGGCAACGTGGCCATACATTCGAATACAACGGCATAGGTATCGATTTTTTTCGGTCCGGTAGCATGGTACAGTGCTGTACGTTTTGTCAAAAAATCTCAATAAAAATACACAATATATTCTATGCATTGAAAAGCACTAGAAAAAGTACAAATCGGTACGGTGGAGCTACGGTAGTGGCAATATTTTTAGCTTAAATTGTCATTTTTTTACTTAAAAGAATACCGTACTACCGATTAGGTTTTACAAAACAGGATAATTGAGCTATAGTGTAAGGCTAGAATACGCAGAATACCGTACTTTACGCCATTTTGTCAAAAAATTCGATAGAATACTAATTATCGGTTGAAAAAATCTTTATAAAAAAGGAATTTGATACATAAGGGTAGGGTTAACGTTGTCCTACAGTAACTATGGTACTTGGCAGAATCGTGAGAAATTACCATATCATCGGCGGTACCTAAAAAGACGGGCGGCACGAGATAGGGGTCGGGCGGAATATCTTCCCGTAGCGTGGGAATCCCCCCGGGGTACGGTAGCCAGGGTGCAAAAACGGGGGCTGAAAAAGCTGGGCCGGGGCGGGCAGGCGATTGGGCATGGGAACAAGGGGGATTTTGAAGGTTTTTTAGGTTCCTTTGGTGGCTAGCTTTTCGAATTACTGTAGTTCACGTACAGTAAGCAAAATTTATCGTAATTGCAACTCAAGTGTTATCAGGAATCGTATTCTACGGAATCAACTTTTCGTTAAATCATCGAAAAACTAGCGTATCCCGGGTAAAACAAAAAAAAAACGAAGACTTCGCCCCACAACCTTGCGAGATTTGGTGCCGAGCGGAAATCAGAAACCATGATTTCTCAAAAAACGCTTCAAAAAGTGCATAGTTGCGTAAAAAGCAAAATTCCGGAAAGTGTTTTCGCGCCCAAATACCCGGGGCACAGCAGGGAGAAGCGCCGGGGGGGTTCTCGGCCTTTTAGGGCCAGGTCTGCCAGTCTCGCTCAGACACAGAATGCGAATCGATTCGTTGGTGACGAACGGACGAACAGACATACAGACAGACAAACAGACAAAGGATCGAACGGGGGGGAGGGGGTCCGGTAATTGCGTGAATATGGGCTGATACCCTGGGAAAGTAAGGAAAGGGTAAAACCCCCGATCGGAGCCTCAAAATTTGAATTCAGAGTGCCGAATTCGGTGATTATCGATTTTTTGCAGAAGGCATATGTGAGATCCTTT